AATTCATTTTATTTCCACTTTCATTGTTCTCTTCTTTTATACTGTACATATATTGTTTCACATGTTGGTTGTTTTTTATTTCAACAAGACTTAAATGTCGGGAAAACAATAAAAGTAAAGAAGCATAATACATGAACACCTCTATGCAATACCTTGACAAAAAAATAAATAAATCGAATTATCCTCAGGAAACTTTATATTACCAAATTTGGACTTCCTTTGTAGCAAAGAGCCTGTGAAGAAGCACATAATCTTACAAGTTTTCAACTTGCGAATTCTTGTATAATTACTTTTATTATTAATACTTTACAGTGATCTTTTTACATGGCTCTGATGGTAAATACAAAACATATATAAATATCACATAATTCTTTTTACACCTTGTAAAAATATGCTGAATATTAATTGTTCAACCACAAAGTCTAGCTCATCAAATTCAAAAAAACGTCTCAGTTCCAAACCAGCAAAGGAACAGGAGGTATTATTTCCCTTTTCTATCTGATTTAACAAAACAATTAACAAAGTTTAATCTCCCAAGGTCCATCAAACAGCTCAGTCACTCTTTAATTACTATTCCACTCAGCCTTAATGAGCGCTATATACGTTTTTATCCTGGCGCTCAGATGAATCACCCACATCTTTACTGCTCTGAGTCAGACTCCCCACTCCATTACATTGTTTTCACACCAGTAGCTCTAGAAAACCGGCTTAACACAGAAACTCTAAAAACCAAACAGCAGTCTGACAGTAAGCAGAGCATGCAGCATTTAGAGGAAAAGCAAAACCTGAGAAAAAAAGGCTGCAAATCTCAGACTTACCAATTCTGATCTTTAAATAGCTTCAGTATCAGCTTTAGTTTCAATTTAATTTACTGTTGTTGTTTTTTTTTTTACATAAGAATAGACTAATATTACATAAAATATCTGTATTCTCTATATAATTATATATATTTGCTTTATCAATTGGATATAATCACAAAATTCATAAATAGTTAAAAGAAAACAAAAGTTTCATAGAATAATGATATAATTTCTTGTTATATAGTCGCCCCATTGAACACAATAGCACTCAGCCTTACCTTAATGGTTTGCTTAGAAGCAGCTGTGGCACCTTTTGCACTTACGCCACCGCACCTGAGTTTACTTTAACACTGCTTCCATATGGCGCAACTCCTACGCAGTGGCATCCTGCCTACTGCTGTCAATCAAACTCAAACACCTACACGCCCCACTTGAAAGGAAAATCAGAACACTTTATTTCAAAAGCAATCAAAACCTTTGAAATTTTCCAAACTTGTTTTGCAAAACAACCAGGAAATTCAAATACATTTTATTGTTAAAAAACATAGCCGCTAACTGTGATGTAAAACAATGTTGTTTCTTCTTTAATTATTTAAATATGAAATATGTAAAGTGTGAAATGGAGTATGTATTTTGCACTTTTTATTCTGAAAGCTATGAAAAGAATTCAGACAAATTAAATAGGTAGAGTCCACTTTTTGTTTAGGAAGAACCCAGCTGTGGTGTGAAGGCCTCAAAGGTGTGTTAGTGAACAATAGTGAGCAATCATCATTCTGAATATCTTAGATCACAGCAGAGATGTTGGGATCAAATTCTGCTAAAGTTTAAAGCATAGTTTGGTTGCTTTAAGCAGAGTTTCGTAACCCTGGTAATCAGGGCCCACTGTCCTACATGTTTTAGGTGTTTCCCTGCACTGAAAAAAATAATGCAACCGTTTTTGACATTTACCTAATCATATTTAGTTACTTTAACTAGTGTTACGTCAATGCCATTTTTTGGCCCTGATACCTGGCTGTGCAATATAAGCCGATACCATTTGTTTGAAATTGATTTGTGTATGTATATATGAAGAACTGCATACTACTTGGATGTAAAATAATTCTAATAAGACTAATACAAAGTGAATCCAGTAGAACTTTTTATTGCCTACCTGGAATGGGTGACAATAGTTGAATAAACTTTTGGCTCTCAAAATGGTATCGGTGCCCTATTTGTTGGTACTCGCCAATACCGATACCACCATTTTAGTGCTGGATTGTGGACCAGTCCGATACTGATATCGGTATCGGTGCAACACTAACTTTAACACAACTGTTTTATGTCCTACCCTGCTAACATGAAACAATTGTTTTAAGGTAACTAAATATGATTAAGTAAATGCCAAAACCAGTTGCATAATTTTTTCCAGTGTGCCTCCCCACTCCTGACCTGAAGGAAAAAGAAATTACCTACTTATTTGCAGCATTTGAGCATTTAACCGTCGTTTAACAGAGAATGGAAAACCTGTAACACCAATGCAAACCTACCAAGACATGGTCATCAAAAGTTCAGGCATGTTGAACAATATTGGTCCACAGCTCAGGTAGGAGAACTAATATTACGACCACATATGGAAGACTGGCAAGATGCGTCATTGATAGAAAAAGTTCACTCTGGAGTTTCCCTCAAGCAATTTATTTAACACAGTGGAAGAAATGTGCTTTTGGTGAGACTAAAATTAAACAACAAATGGTGCAATGACCAGGTGAAACATGGTGGTGGAAGAATCATGCTGTGCGGATGCTTTTATTCAGAGACAGGAAACATTTTCAGTTTATATATATTATGAATTGAGCTGAATATGTTAAGAAAAACTGCTAAAAGATTGTGAGGATAGAACTGAACAATCATCCTTGTTTTTGAAGTTAGCAGCGAGCTGTAGTTTTAAAGCAGCTGGTGGAGCAGTTCATCAAAATTTCTTAATGTTTTTCTACTACAGTTTTCACATAACCACCTAAAATGCCTACGTTTTGCAAAAGCACCCAATCATCAGACAAAGCTTGATTTGTGGCTTCAGTTTATTTCTCTAAAAAAGACAGTGGACTAGATCTGTGAGACATGGTCACATATGGAAATGCCAAAACCGAAATTGTCAGCAGACTTAATGCAATGCAGTGTTGGATGGAGGAATAAGGTACAACTGTTTTGTTAAGTCAATTTAACCAATGTGTTCCACTTTCATAAAAAAATTGCATCTTTTAAAATGTTATTATCACTACAGAGAGACTTTAAAATTAGTTTTAACGCTTATATGAGAGGAAGAAAAACTAGCACAGATAACCTCTGTTGCTTATTATATTTTATAGATTGATGATAAGGTCACAACCTATTTCTATAACTGTACATCTACTGAAGGAAGAGTTTAGTTCTCCATTTGCAGGGCTGGTTCTAAAAGTATTTTTGAATTATATGTTTATAATATTTTGTAGAAACCATTATTTGATCAACAAACCCACCATGAAAGACTGCAGACATAGCCAGTCATCAGTCCATCTGCATTAGGTAAATGGGGGGTTGTGGTTGAAGTTTTTGTGGGAATTAAGGGTTATCACAGTTGTTTTCACTCTTTGATTGGAGTAAGATTGTAATCTTTTATGGTTTGTGATCGAAACTGCTTTGTTTCGCATTTGCAAAGTTCCACTGTGCAATGCAGGTGTCTTGTTTCTTTTTCGCTGTTGCATCCGAGGTTGTCAGCATGTTTAGTGACTCATTTATTGTGGCTCTCTGCCTTTTTGCAATCAACTTGTGGGACAATGTGAAAGCACTGGAGCACATTGCTCTCAAGATGAGGGCACCGCTGCACTGCCTCTCTTTCATGTGGCTTGTCGGGTGCAAAATTAGCTTTTGTTCCAAATTTACTAAATATTGTTTTGGTAAGGTTTTGTGCTATTTTTGGTTGGATTAGATCTAAAAGATGCCTTTTAGTGCACTTTGTTGAGAGCTCTCCTACATAATCTTGCAGTATTAAATTTATTTGCTCTTTGACTGTTTTTCTTTTTTAGTTTTTAGAGCTTCAAACATTGTTTTTTATGCTAACCCTTCTTTGAAAAATTATTATGTTTTTTCTCCTCTGAACTGTCCACTGTGTTCCTTGGGCTTGTTGATGCTGTTTGTTTCCTACTGATCTCTAAAAATAAGATTAAATGACAAACAGGTGACCTATAGTTATTATTATGGTGACCTTCTAACTGCTGTTGTTTGGATTTGAGTTCATGAAGGTGCATCATAGTTATTAGGGCCAAACTATACATTTCAAATACAACTCATTATCCATATCATTTCCTGTATCAAGTATACAATTAACTGAAGCTATATGCTATGATTAAAACTTGCTAAGAATTTGTAATGCAGCATATAAAGAAAATGCATAAGACAACTTCTGCAGCTGATTGAATTAGGTGCAGGCCCTTAATATTCATTTATATGCATGAAGCTTTTATGCATTTGTTTACCAGGGTATTTTGGTGTGCTTGCTTTGTCAAAATGCTGAGATGTTTATCACAATCTCACAGCAGGAAATGACCCAAATTTGGTTCATATGCAACAGCCCAGTCTTTCCACACACAAGCGCCTCTCAGAGGTGATCTAGTTACCTGGTCTTTCACCTGCGACCTTGGTTTTTCTGTACCCTCAGTGCAATTTGTTCATAAGTCTCCAGCTTTGTGTTTCGCAGCTTCTCGTTTCTCTTTCCCCTTTTTCTTGCACTTCTTGGCAGAGTACCTCATTAACTATCAAACTTTAGTTTACTCACTTCTGTAATGCATGTCCCTCTTTTTTTTTATTTCTGTTCCATTTGAAACATTGCTTCGTCTCTGAAACTGACTTGTGTAAACTGTGGGAAGAGCTGAGTCAGCAACACAAAGCATTTTTGATATCCCCCCTCCTACCTCCTTTTCTCTATGCATCCTTGCTCAACCACATCCTGCTCCTCATTCTCACAAATACATGCGTGCATACACAAACACTGCCTGCATTTTCCCTTGAGCTGGTTGCAGATTTGTACACCTGCTGTCACATAATGTGGTTGGGTTCAGGCTAATCGGTCTGCTCAAAAAGTGCAGGGTTGAAACTACTCTCAGTTTTACATGTTAACAGAAAAACACTATTTACTTTTAAGTCTTTTGTTTATGTTGAAAAAAAAAACATTTTTATTATTCAAAATCAGTTTTATTTAAACAACATATTTTGTAAAATAACAGTTGCAAATACGTATATATATAGATAATCTGAATATCAGATACTTTCATTTTAAAAATATTTGTTCTTCCATTGGTCAAAATGACATCCATCAGGTACAGTACATATATATATATATTAGATTACATCTCTAACATAAAAAAATAAACACTGTTCAGACAACATGCTTTGTTATTGTCTAATGATCTATCCTGAAAGCCCCCAAGCTGGACCCTTGACTCAACTGTTTTATTCTGCTCAATGTGACATAAATATGGTCTCCTTCCTGCAGGTGGAAAATTCCTGCCAGGAAACTGCTCCTCAGCTCCTCGGCATCAGAATTAGCAGAGCTTCTATATTGGCAGCAAGTGCTAGAAAAGAATATGGCCAGTGTCATATTAAGAGTGTTCTATTACATTTTCAGTTGTTATGCAATATATACTAGAAAAGGTAGGAAAAAAAGTAAGAAAGCTCACCTTTTGGAATGGAGTAGTTCTATAGGCTTCCCATAGCCACTTGTGTTTCTCATTATTTTGTGGAAGACACCTTTATTAGTAGTTTCATTGGAAAAATCTATCTCCACCCTGGAGTAAACGTAGTAGTAGCCTTCCTCTAGGATTATAAGGCCGCTGTTGTTAAACCCCATGTTTTTTATGTCTTGTTCAACTGGGTTCCACCGCACTTCATTATCCCTCAAAGGACCATCACCTGGAACGAAAATATAAAAAAATATTTTTCAACAAAAAGCTGAAAGAGAAATATCATTAAATAATTTGTATTTCTTTAACTGGGTAAAGTTGGTTTAGAAACCTTTTAATAAGTGTAGAACACACTGATTTTTGTTGAACAGACAAAGAAAGGATTCTGCTTTTCAATTAAACCTAATTTTTGAAAAGTGAAAAGCTCATAGAAATCAAATGAAGTTTTTATAAGTTGATTGGGTTTGATTAAATCTGGTAAACCAAAGTGATATTTAATTTCTTTGAGTACACTTTAGGCCTTCAAAGGCCTGATAAAGACATTGACTTGAGGGTTCTTACCAAACACGTGAGCAAATGGCCTTATTGGTCTCTCTGGAGGAGCAATTGGAAGAATCTCATTGGATTCTGCAGATAAAATTAGAGATTGCTAATTAATGAACAGACAAATACATTAATATAGAAAAATCAACAGATTGATCTGTCACGTTCTGCACGACAAACAGTAGTAGTATCTATAATGGAATTTCTGTTAAAAACGAATACATTAAACAACACAATCCCCACCTTTAGTTTTGATTTGACTTGACATCCTGCCATTCTGAGAAAAAGATATAAGAACTCATTTGTTATGATTTCTTCAAAGGAGTGAAGTACAGTAACAGCCGATTCATGTAGTTTATGCAAAAATGTTACCTGCTGTTCAAGCATCAGTGGGTGGGAAGAGTTATGGCACGGAGGATTAGTCCCGCAGCGAGACAAAGGCTGTACGGAAATAGAGGAAAAATTTGTGCAATAGTTTTAAGCGTGAGTGAACAACTGAGTCAGGTTACCTATGACAGACCAAAAACATAATTAGTAACTGTATTAACAAAAACGTCTAGCGACAGTAAACTGTAGTGGAAATGAGGCCTACAGGTGCAAAACCGTTTTTCTCTCAGCTAGTAAATGGGAAACTAACAAGGCCTATTGCAGTTCTAGAATTTTATTGCATGGAAATATCCTTTGATAACTTAGGTAGGTTTTAAAGACCAAAATTCAGTCAGGAAAACTTAACCATCATTTCTAACCCAAAATGTCCAATCTAATTTTTTGGGTTAGACAATTCAGTCCTTGACATTAAAGAAACAAATATATCACAATAAAAATCTTGATGTGCTTTATCAAGATGAACTGCCTTAATAGTATTTGTTCAAAGATTCAAGATAAGAAAAGGGAAGTACAATCTAGACCAAAATATTTCAATAGCTTCGTTGTCTTTGACAGAACTTCACAGGTAAGTCAAAACCCATGCAGAAAATTCTACTCTATTGTGTGACGTAGAAGAAATATGCAAATAGTCACGCAAAGGAATTTCCAGTCTCATCAAGCCCTACAGTGTCCCCCCATCATTCAAGCTGACATGCCAAAAGACTCTCCCCTTACCTCAGTCCTTTGGTAAAGTATGTAGATCAAATATCCCTCAACAAAGACTCCCAGCACAGCCAATCCCAGGAGAAGGAGGAGAAACCTCTGGCCTGCTGTGGCCCATGAGGATTTCTTGCTGCCAGGCATGGATACGTAGCTGGCCTGGCTGTCCACCACAAAGACCTGCGGTGGGGGAGCTGCACCACCTTCTGACATCCCAACTGGACCACAGATCCACAACTCTACTAATTTGGCTGGGAAGGAATTAGTAAAAAAGAAAAATATATATTATTTTGTTAGTCAAGTAAAAAGAGAAACAAAATGAAAAATAAATCCCATAAAAATGAGTTAGTAAAGGAACAGAAAAATTACTTTAAAACTTTCTGAAATTTCTAGTCAACTACTGTACAGACACATATGACAGTAACATTCCTGGGAATAAAGTTATGTCTTTACACCCTTACTATTTTAAGAAAGAGAGTCACCAACAGTTTAATGAATTAAAAAAAGACGTATACATCATTTCACATCATACTCCAAGTTCTTAAAGGAATATTACCTCAGAAATAATTGTCTCCCCACAGTTCAGTCAAACATCCAGCTCCTCACTCTGACCTCTGAAGCTTGTTGGTAATCTTGACCAGCACATTCGTCCTCAACAAAATGTTTGTAAAAGAAAAAAATAAGAAAAAGAAATGCTACAAATCGATACCACAATGAGTTATTTTATGTTTCGGCCAAATTTGTCCATTTCTTAGTGGAAAGCTTCTCTCACGGTCCAGATTTTAGTTCTCTCCTAGCTCTCGTATTTGCTTGCTTGCTGTCAAGTGTCACTTATATTGCTTTTGAAGTGAGCTAATGGGGAAAATGCAAGCAGAAAGAGAGAGAGAGATAGAGAGACAGAGCAGTCTCTGTGTGTGCACTTGTAAGGGACACTCCCTGCTGAATATAGCCGTCAACTAAAAAATGACACTTCCCTTTTGCTTTCTGCTGTCAGTTTCCATCCTTGTTTCAACCGATCATGTGCTCGGTTTCACTTTGTTTTCTTATTTTAAACAGTGTAGTTTTTGTGAATTTATCATTTTCTAGTTGTTACCGTCGTCCAAGTTTACAGTAAATTTGGCCTTGAGACTGTAGCACAGTTACAGTGACATCTGCTACATTTAAACACTCTGTGCCGCCGCAGTGCAGTGCAGTGCATCTCACCTCTATTTCATCATGCCCCTCAGACAGTCTGTGAAAAAAATCTCAGGTGGGACATATGTTGTTTTTCCTGTTTCTGTACCTTGTGAAACAATTGCTTGAACAGTAGCCGCCTGCAGTAACGGGAGATGGGTTGCCAAAGACTAAAACAATGATGCAACATGCCCTTTTTTTTAGTTTCACATGTTTTGTTCATGAGTTTCTTAATTCACTGTTCATTCTCTCCATTTCTACAATAACATTTTAAATGGTACAAAACAGTGTCTTTCTATGTTTCTTTTCATGTGCATAAGCAGAAAATAAAAGCTATTATATGGATTTCATGCAATGGAGGCGGCACCAAAATTACACATACAAAAAAAAAAAAACTTTTTTCAAAAAGAAATCTGAAAAGTCAGGTCTAAAGTTGCTGTAAGTCTCATTTACTCTCAAGCCTTGACACATATCCACTCCACTGCCTCCACTGGCAAAGATGGTGGAGGCAGCATCATGTAGACATCTTGAAGCTGCTCAGTGTTGATGGGTTAAGTTAAATACCTGGAAACAGGCTAGTAGTAGCTAAAAAAGATAGGAGAATGGGGCAGATTCTCTCCTTCGTATAGGGGAGATATCCTAAAAATGCAGCCTGAACCACAATAAAATGGCTTGCATCAAAGCCTGCTGCTGACAGAATAAACCAAAGTCAGAAACTCAGTGAAAACTAAAGGTGAAAGACACTTTGTGTTCAATCAATGAGAGAGAGACATGAATGAATAAAAAAATGGGCAAAAAATATTCTGTCTCCAAATACAAAATATGCTGTGTGTTTGTGACTGCTGTCTCAGAGAGGATTGAAGATAAATGCATCTTTAACACAGCAAGACGAGCTGTCTCTTAAAAACTCATGAGTTTCTTTTTTTTCTTTTGTTGTAGGAGGGGGTAGTTTGACACTCTGACTTACTTTCTACCCACACACTGTAAGTTTCTACCACTCAAACAAACAAGACATATGAACTCTGTGTTGGGTGCAGATAAAGATGCATGAGGGACTGACGGAAGTCTATAGACGGTTAGGGCCCTACCTACAGTGCCTGTGGTCGCCGCTTGTCGAGTGAAGAGATAGTAAGAACTAGAAATGCTAGAGACACATTAGTTCTCACATGTGTCCCTGAAGTCAACCTTATAAACTGATAGCTTGAACTACATATAATGAAGGTAAAAGAAAAACATTTATACCATTACTTTAAGATAAAACTCATATAATAAACATAGAATGTTCCATATACACTCATCTTAAACTACTTATTCCTTTTGGACCTCAAATGATTTCATTCAATGCAGTTATTGTTTAGGGTAATCCAAAAAGAGTTTTAAAAAAATTGGATTTCGAAACAAAACAGTATTCATACTGAAAATGAAAATCCCTGTTGTTATACGTTTTATGACAACTGGCCATGATGTTTGTTCACTTACATTTTATGGTATAGAAGTTGTTCCTGTTTCTAAAGTAGGAGGTGACAGAGATGATACTTCAAAGAGAAGCATTTTGGGTTCGCTGTACAAACAGTAAACTTTTGAGGATGCTGTGTGAATACTGCATGTATTCACCTATTTATGTGGCTTTGTATTATGTTTATTGTTGTGGAAGTGTAGTTGTGACAGGGGTTTTCACTTCAAGTTTAATCTCTGTAATGACTACTCAGAAGTCCCCTCTGATTGGCTTAGATGCTTTCTACTCTCTACATAGACACGTACCAAAGATATAGACATGTAGCCAAAATGCATTCCCTTACTGATATCAAATTTATGAGGTACCTCGGAGTGCTGGTCATCCACATATTTTCAGTGTTATTTAAGACCCGGGGACCCATTTACTCCCCTCTGTTTTACTTTTTAACGTAGCATGCATTGATTTTGCTCTATTCATTACTTTTCTGTAAAAGAACTGAGCTTACATATTTCTAGTGGTTGTGGTTTTTGAACTAATTAACTAAATATATGGAAGCATTTGCCCAAGATGTATAATAAGTTGCAAAAAGGTCATAAACTTCTCCTTAACTGGCAAGGCCAAAGAACTTTGTTTTACTCATAATTGTTTACTAAGTTGGGTAGTTTCTCTACACCAACATTAAAGCAAGTTTCACATAGAGTGACAGTTTGAGGAACGAATTTGAGGAACAAATTTGCAGCACCATAAGAAAACAAGCCAAATATCTCCTGTAAAAAAAGTATTACAGTGAGATAAGCAAAGAGTGGTCACAAAAAGACAAAACAAGTATGGTTAAATGGCACAAGATGAGGTGAAGAGATTTGTACCAGTTGTTAAGCATGGTGGTGATAGCATCATGCTCAAGAGATATATAACCGCTTGTTTTACTGCTTTATCATGCGGCTGGATATGATGATATAGAAGTAGAAGGGGCTCCGAATTCTCTATTTCCACTTCAAATAAAGTAGTATCCTTATTCTTACTGTGCTCTCAGTATAATCCAGTTACTCCCTCAGTGCCCATGTATTATAAAGGAACTTATCTGAAGCCTGTACATATAGAAAAGCGCCTTTTTCATCCTCTAACTCATTTCTGGTTTGAAAATCCTGCAATGGTCACCTAGGAAACTCAACAACCTCTTCAAATGAGTAAACAGCCTGAATTTCCCAGAGCCACAAACTTGTCTGCATTAATCAATGGCCACAAGTAAAGATCACAGTCCAGATTGTGACCAAACTTTTTTCACATATTTTTAGTTCAGTTCATGAATAGTTTAGTAATTTCAAAGGGAAAATAAACACTAAAATTATTTTATTTTTTATTTTTTTTATTGAATTGTTGTAGGTCAGCTGTAGGGTGGAACGATCTTTTGTTGTGGTCTGTCTTGCACAAGATCTGGAGAAGCCTCTTACTGAAGACACTTTCTTGGTGTTTGACAATCAGATGAAGAGCATGTATGTGTTATCCATAATCTTCTTCACTTTATGAAGAATTCTTCTTTGTGAATAAATCTCCAGAGGAGTTCCTAGAACAGAGCTGGCCTCCTTTATTAGCTTGTTGACCTTTTTTAAGTAATTTACTTAAATTTTCTGATGCTGTTACCACAGCAGATGATAGAGGAGGAATACAAACTCTCCCCAAAAGACTTACAGAAGATATGTAGCATTTTCTTGCTAACGCTGAAGGACCAAAGCTTCCTTAGGAAGTACAATCTGCCCTGTCCATTCTTTTTTTTTTTTTTTGGTTATTATTCAGGTAAAACTTAATCGATTATTAGACATGCTAACGCTACAGATGCTCCCGACTACCCTGCGATATGTTAGTATTGTTGTCTGGGCAACCACAATATTTTTCAGCCATTGTGTAGTGTAACATGACTGGCATGTGCAGGGCCCGAGCAGATCTGACCACACAAGCATATCTGGTACCTACACTGTCCCCTGTAATGCTCTACACCTACATTACAAAAGAAAAGGAGAAACATGTTACAGTACATGTTACATCACTGCAGCCAAGACATTGAAGGGTTGACAGTTCGCTGTCAACCAGATTATTAGACCAGAGTTTACCAGTGTTTTGTTAGAAACTGTTTACATTCCACCTTTTGCTGTTGCCTACACTGCATGTCAGGTAATCAGTTCCATTGTTTCTAAGCTCCAGACACAACAGCTAAATAAAGTTGTGATTTTAATCACGATTCACTCTCTGCTACACTGCCAACAGTCAGTCAGCTGCTGTACCAGAGAAAGGAACTGCTATAAAACCTCTGGGGATTATTTCATAAAGAAGAATATTTCATAAAGTGAAAAAATATCATGGATAACAGTGAGACCCCTTTTCATTAGATTGTTTAACACCAACAGAGTGTCTTCAATCAGATGCTTCTCCATATCTGGTGCATGACAGACCAATACAGAAGATATTTCCTGCCTACAGCTATCAACATCTACAACAACTCGATGAAAAACAACAACAACGAATTCTTCACATAACTGGATCGTGTTTTCCCTTGAGAAGATTTGACTGCACTACCATAAGGTAGCTGTCCACGTATTACTCTAACACCATTAATTAAGGTTATTTGCAACTTGTGCTTTATCATAAACCACAATTTTACACTAAACAAATACATATGGATCTTAGAGGGGAGGTAAACTTAGGACACATAGATGGCACCTGTAGTCGAAGATTTACTTATTTGGTTCAGATATAGAGAAAATTAATGCTGCCAGACAGTTGTTGGCGAGAATATTAATATTTTTCATAATATTATGTAAAGGTTTTGATATAATCCAGTGTCCAAGGATGAGACCGTTTAGCAAAAGGCTTAAGCTGATTTTCTTCAAAATATATGAGGTGAAAAAAGGGCAGTGAACATCAGTGGATACACTTAGTCACTGTACATGGGTACATAGATAGCTTTAAAAGAATTTAGTAATGTGGACTATGGGTAATAATTGTATGAATGAAGATTCATGTGTAGGCACATGTCTGTGTAAAAATGTATGCTATTAATAAGAGAAATACATGATCTGCTCACTTAATTGACTTCTGATTAGTATGGACTCATGTGTAAAGTAGGAATACTGTTGATATTAAGGACAAGGAGGGAGGAGGGGTATGATCAAAGATGTTTCACTTCTTCCAGACTCTCTGAAAGCTATTCATTCATTTCCTGTTGCTAGCAGCTTGGTGGTCTGGCTGTTTACTTCCTGCCAGTGCAGACCACAATATAGGAAGCTGTCCTGGGCTGCAGTAAAAAAAAAGCAAGCATCAACAATGTATATAAAGATAGAAGGTGAGAAAAATGACCTTTGTATTCCCTTGAATGTCAGTATCATTTCATTGTGCCATTTGATACAGGTTAATAGAGCAAGGGACACATTTAAATGTTGCATTCAGATCACAAAGTGCTTCTGTGAGGAAAACCTGCCCTTCAGTTTCAGACCACTGATTAAAAATCACTTGAACAAGTTAAAATCTAAGCAAGGTCTTTTCCCTCTTAAGTCAGACTTGTTCACCTTTGATTGTAGGCTCTAATTTATATTTAAAATGGAAAAAAAAGTTACATTTTGAACTTATTTTTGCTGATTTTTAAAGTCAAGTCACCATTTTATAGTATTTTATGCAGATTACAGCTAGACAGATCTGAAACTAACAACTCAAGATAAGTTTCAGTTCTGGGAGTGATTTAGGTGTAGACTTTGTTTTTCCCCTAATTTAACAAACCCAAGGCTGACCATCTACAGTATAATTCTAGTGGTGAGGGAAAACCCAAAATACATAATACAATATCGTCAAACAGCACAATTTAATAATAGTATTTCTTAAAAAAGTAATTTAAAGCTGTGCAATACACCTGACTGGTCTGCATATTTAAAAGACATTAACCAAACCTGTATTTTTGATCACTTCAAAACTAACAGCAAAATTCAGGCGTTGCCTTTTTTAAATATGAAAATTTCTAAAATTTCAGTGGGTCAATTCTATGTGTCTCCAGTCATGGATTTAATTAAGCTAAACGGAAACAAGTTTTTTTAAGTTTAACTGTACTTTTAAAATATTCTGGATTTACATCTTTATGCAACTAGGTATACCAAAGTATTAGATATTTGTCCATTTTAAATTGACTACCTTTCTGTTAGTTTACAGGTGTTAAATAAAGTGCCAAGAGGTAGTGGGGAATTGTTCAGGTTTCCTTTAACTAAATCAAGCATAGTAAAGTTGCCCCCCAACCATATTTGTAGCTGCCCTCTTACATCTACAAGAAGTTTTATTCCTAAAGGAATTTGTATCAGATAGCCCAACTAATTAAAAACATTAAATCACAATATTGTACATTTGGTATGAATAACGAAAAACAAAGTTAAGTATTAACAGTACTCATTCCAGTCATGTTTAACAAAAATAATTGATACAAGCACAAATTGCAGAGGAAGATCTCACCTTATAATA